TATTTTTAAAATAGCAGAAAACACTCGCAAGCTTACTAGATTGAATGCGCCAAAATCTCCCACCTTACATTTAATGCCATTTTTGCCTGGCAGTTAAAGAGCTCAATCCTTCAACATAGAGGCAGGCCTTCGTGAGTACAGTGTGACTGACCCGCATATACAGGTCCTCAAAACTATTAGAAGATAGCTACGCGGGATGATCAGGTGCGTTACGTCAGACGTGCTCCGTTATGACTACTCTGCATCATACAAAACCCCTAAAACCGCTGTCTTTGTGCGTGGGGATTTCACTGACCGACAACCACAAGAGAAAACGGTCCAAAAACAGAAGTGTTGATGAATGAGTGAGTTACTGGTCAACGAATTTTTAATTAAGATCTCTTAAATGAACTTTCATAACTTAAGATTTCACAAGTGTAGATTTCTGTTGCGTCGTTTAAGAATAGTGTCGTAGCTAAAAAAGCTTCACACTTCAGCAGATGTTTAGAGGTTATGGGGAATCCTAGCATTCACGTTTTCTCTGTCGAGGAAAAATCTCATTGTACCTAGATCTCTGAAATAGTCTTGCTCGTTTCTACAATCTTCAAGATGAATTTATATGATCTAATAATCCCTAGAAAGTTTCTTCGCATTAAAAATATCTTCGAACATCAAAACGTATTCCTAAATCGTACTGGTATCACTAGAAGTACTTAATGTCGTCTGGCAAACTTATAAAATTCTAGAGATTGCTCAATCTTAACCTAACCCTCACTACAACTATTTTTCCGGAAAGCTTTTTTACTTATTTACAGTAGCCGATTAATGTGACCATCAGTTAAGCATCACTGATGTGATGACGAAGGCTCGTTTTTGCCTCGACGCTATTGCAGAAGTTAGAATCTATCTCGCAAAATCAAAACGTCTTCAGAAATTCCGCGTTTTTAGTCTTCAGGTGGCAAATGAGAGGATGATCATCACAGTTACCTGAACTTAGGTTTGCGTGAACCGATTCACCAGATCTTTGTTGCTGCTGAGGTCCCAGAATCTACCATTCGCTCATCTCTTACAGAACATCACAACCCATGGCATCATCCACTTAAGGCAATATAGCGTAATCGGAAAAATATAACATCTATCTATTTATAGATCTTAAGTTTCTGGTCTGGGGTATGCCGCATTTAGCTCAAGGATACTGTTGGTTCATGCTTCTTATCGAGACTTGATAGGTATCCTAGATGCTACAAAGCCTAACAGAATTTATCTGCGTGCAACAAGCATTGTTTTATGCAAGATCACAAATACAGGATCGCTTGGATTCCTGAAAGTACGCTGACTGGCTTCTAAAAAGCCAGGATTGAAAGGATAATTCAATCAAATGATTCTCTAAGGAGCAGCTGGAGCATTAAATAACCGATAGACATCCTCACTGCTCATATTCCGTAATCGGGATAGTAATAATTAGTGTCTTGTAAGCAACTGTTAACGCCTCGATATGTTGGATCTGCAGAATTTGACAGCAGTTCACTTTAGTAATTTCAGATAGGGTGAGCTTTATCCGCCGACGAAATATATTTTTGTCGGTTACACCCTAAATGTTTAAGCAACATAGAAGTTGTATGCTCGATTGCTTTGGTTCTTGTCTTTTCAATACCGCGTTTTTAGTACACAACTCTCTTGAATCCCTTAAAATTCAGAACCCAAATAGTAACCCTAATGTAAATGGTGCCTGTTTTCCTTAAAATGTTGGCTCAGATCTGACCATAAATATTTTTGCTGATAACAAATCAGACAACACAGTTCACATTCACGTCACTGCAGTACCCAGTTTCAGTAACTATGCAACGACCAACGGGCAAAATATTTGCAATAATTACATAACTAACCATGCACTAGACGTCGACATATTTGAACCTTCCAAACCATTGGAAGTATGGTTAATGACACTGAAATCCCGTTAAATTACAAAGGGATTATGTTATGACCTTGATTTGTCTACCCACTTTTTGGTGCCGAGGATACTTGTCTAATCTAGATTTCGACCTTGATGCGATAGGCTGATCAGCTTAACCTTGAGACTAGTACGCGTGAGTTCGAGATGGGGTAGAGAGAAGAAAACTATTCTGTCACCTGATTGGTGGGCAAGCACACGAATTAGAGAAGACAAGACAACTGGAACACTACTCGATCTATTTCCCTGACCACTGAACTCACTGGATTCACTGAATTCAGATTAGTGTAAAAAGGTACATGAATAAATAAGTGAATAACCCGACCGCAACGTACAATAATTAGGAAAAATACAATTATGTCCAAAGCTGGGAATTAGAGTAGAAAATAGGGTGCAAAATAATATGTTTAAATTACAATAGCTTCGGAACAGAAAAAGGTATGGCAGTGAATGATACTTCGAACGAAAGCTTATGTTCTGTAGAATAGATTAGGGACAAAAATAAATGTCAGTGTTTTACAAGCTTTGAATAAAATGAAATAACGTCCCGAAAAATAGCCTTCGTAGTTTGTCAGGGCTTCTTGTTTCCCGGTTCACATCAGATTAATGCAAACCAAAAATCTTAAAAATAAACGTCTGGAACACAGCAAAGAAATCGTGTATAAAAAGTAGTTAGAATTAGACATGACTACTTAGTTCCATACGTAGACCTGAAAGCGTCAATGGTCCGTCTCCCAGGATGTACACCATGCCGATATCAGATGTAAAAAGTCAATAGTAGTCAGGAGACGTTTATGTGCCTCCTCCGGGTTTGCTGCAGGCAACTGTAAATATGTTACAAATAGTGAAAAATTCGAAATCAAGCATTTAACAAGTACAAAGGAATCATTAGTTCGTGCAAACACCACAGTTGCTGAATCTATACCCCCTCGAGACACAATTCATACTTTGGCTGATCCCATGAGTACTCACGGCACCACTACTTATGATCTGTTCTCTAAACTACTTCTTCATGATACCTCTCAGTTTCTTATTTTTTCATTCGATGCTCGCTCTCTATCCAACAAATCTAGTTATTTTAAAAACTTTTTACTACTTTTAAATCCAAGTATTGTACTTACTACGGAAATATGGTGCAAATCATTCGTGTCCGAACACTCCTTAACCGTTGATAACTACGTTTTCTTTCGACCCGCTAGATATTGTGGAATACAAAGCGGTAGAATTATCTATAACCGTTCAAATATTTGGGTGTGTAAATTTGAGAATGAGTGTCTCTATGCTTTAGAGTGCTTCACTTGGGTTGCTATAAATTATGGATCACAAAATTATCTATTGGTGGAATGTATATACAGACCACTCCATGCAAATACTGACTTTGACAAATTGTTAACAAACATGCTTTTCATTGCTTTGCACCAAATTATCGGTGATTTTAATCTGCCGGACATTACATGGAACTCGACTTCAGTACCAGGTCGAGTTTTTTGAATAGGTCCAACAAGTCCGAAAACCAATGAAGAGGAATAATCTACGTGATTTAACATTTATAATCAACACTGACTGTATCTCAATGCACGTCAATCATGAATTTTAAATGAGCAACCACAGAGTTGTATTGAGTATTATTCATTCTCCAAACACCATACCATCGAACTCTGAGGCTGCAACAATCTACCAGAGTGGGTAGTTTAATCAATAAACCGGAAAGCACACTGAAACTCTTATTCGATGCTTACCATTGGAATCTTATTTCCTCACAAATAACATTGACACTGAGTTTCCAACTTATACCTCAATCCAACTTATCGCCTTGACTGCAATAATCCAATTATCGACCATGTGACTTGTAATGCTAACAGGGATAAAAATACTTTTAAAATTTTTAAGAAAAAGTTGAGAAAAATGAAGCACCGCTACCGCAAGTACCATGACGTATGTACACTTCAGAGCATACTTAACTTGATTGACGTAAATGATTCATCTCAACATATGTTATGACTATGCAGAATAAAAGTAAAAGCCCAGACTTATATATACTTCAGCTTTTCAAAGCTCACATGAAATCAAATTCTCTTAATACATTTAAATTAAGATTGAGTAATTGGAAGAGAATTATTAATATTCAAAGTAATTATTATTATTGCTACGTTGAATAATATGTCAAAAAGAGAAGGAACAGAATTTTTAATCGATGGTCAATAGAATAATAGTTACGTAAGAATCAAGAGATGTATGTTGAGGAATTACAAAGTTCAAAAACAACCGAAACAAAACTAAAAAGCAAAGAAACCAAATGGAAGAAGTATGAAAAATAGTTCTGTTGAAGAAAATCTATACCTATGGCCAAGGCAGCGAAAGTGGTTGTACAAATTTCTTTTGAATGCAAAGGTTAGGTTTGTGAACATGGATTACGCACTCGTAAACCATATGGCGAATTTGATGGAATATGGTAGATATCCTTAAAAGCTTTGTTCAATTCAACTTGATGACCTGTGTCAACCGAGTGTGCGAGAATAGAACTTTTAGCCAGTTTTACCTGTCCTTTGCTTAACCATGACGAATGGTGCTTTGTAATATATATGAATATATGAATAATTAGGTAAATTGTAAGCACAAAAATAGTGAAGAATCAAAAGGATAATGATCCAAATGGATTTGAGAACAGTTTAGTTTACTATCAATGTAATAGAGATATAATTACTGACAACTTCTTTTAAACACAATGACTAAGGTTATTATATATATGACATAAAGTGTAATATGTTTCCACAAGACGAGTTCAAATCGTTTCAGTCAGCAATGATAAAATACCATGAATAACATTAAATATTTTAATTTTACCAGTTACTATGTTTCATTAAAACAACTGCTAGTTAATTATGAAAAGTTATTTTACTTTGTGTAAAATAATAGTGATATAATCTAATAATAAAATAACAATAATGTTCAGAATCATCATTTCTTCTTAACTATACCAAATTTACTATGATGCACAATAAAATGCTTTACAAATCGATGTATTTACTGATTAGTTACGATATTATTAACTTGTTTAAACAAAGCAAATAAATAACTAAAATTCTGTAAATGAATTTGATACGTTAATGTTTTTATCATGAAATTTCAGTCTTTCAAGGAGAATATAAAAACGAGTTTAACATAGATTATTAGTATTATTATTACTAGTATTTGTTTGTGAGAAAGATCAGTAATTAACTATGGGATCTGCCTATGGAATCATAATATTGATTTGCCTACTTAATGAATCAATAAAAGGTAAGTTATTATGTTTAAATTACAGAAAAATACTTATTCAGTACAATAAAAATACGTTTGAATTGATAATAAATATGACTATTTCGAAATCATAAAACACATTTAGATAATAAATGTTTATTTTGAAATTTTCTAGCCTTAAGTAGCTAAATAACTCTTTTTCCTTATAAATTCACTTGGTATTGTTTACTTGAATTTTCTAATTGATGTTGAGGACTGCGATTGACCAGTAAATAATACCAAGTAAACTTAAACTTCATCACATTGCACAAGCAAGTGGCTATCAGGACTCAATAGTTAAGTAAATAACGCTATGGCGTTTGAAGCGAACGGTACTGGGTCTGAGTCCTAGAGTGAACATCAACCCTAAGTTGCAGGTACATGCAGTTAACGAGTCCAAAATAAGGCGAAACTCGATCACAATCGTAAAAAAAGTAAATAATACAATGCACAATCAAGTATAGTATTGAATTACATAGTTATTAATTAAAAAGTGCATACACAATAGCATTTTAAAGTTGATGTATTTGTAGATTCTGAGAATACCGGACAATGTAGCTTGCCTGATAGGAGCATTCACACTAATACACTTTAAACAAAGCGTCTAGTCTTGATACTTAATCTCTCTATCTCGACATTACAAAAGGTAGAGTGGAAACTGTTGTTTACAGCATAATTTCTATACTGAAATTTCGCTGACTGGTTTTATTTTAAAACACTAGAAGACAAGTAACGAATCCATAATCAGTTTCAACGCCTCCTTTTTACTTCTGTGAAACAGTTTTCCCATTAGTCTCGTTCATTTTTTTAATCTTCACACAATAATTACAACCTGACAGACAACATGTCCGTCATCAAAATTTACTGAAAGAAGTAACTCAAATAAGTTCTACAGAACTATAAATTAGAGTTGCAAAATTGTTTGAAAAAACCAATAGTGGGTTATAAAATGCGATAATTAAGATTACTGAGTGAATAAACTAATCAGCGACGTCATTTTGTTCAGCATTCAAAGCAGTTCCACGTAAGTGAAAAGCCATTTTTAATTCTTCTTCATTATTATTATTATTATTATTATTATTATTATTATTATTATTATTATTATTATTATTAATGTCTTCTTTGCTTCACGATAGTTTAAATTTTGTATTCATTGTTTATAACTATGTTGAATATTATTATAATCGAACAAAACGGTAAAATAGTCAACTCCAGCAAGAAGCCAATTATTTTTAATTATTCTTTTCATAAAATCCCTCGGATAGTTATTTATCATCAAAGTGGATATAATTAAATTTATTTCAGCTTCTATATTATTCGGTTCAGTGACGAGTTTTTGGACGTTGTTTATCAAATTCTTGACCACTGTCACTTTGGTGGAATGTGCATGTGTTGACTTGTAATCGAGATTTTTCCCAGAATACTTTTACTTTCGGAATACATTAATTTTTAAAAAATCAATACATTTCCTTTCAACCAAACAGTCCAGAAGAGGTAATTTGTATTCAAAGGATTTGATCCCCCTAGTGAATCTAATGTTATCAGAAATACCGATGACGTTTCTAAACATTTCGTTTTATGATGACAAATGTATCATCTATGTACTTCAGACAGAGCTTTGGTGGAAGGGGACACTTAGAAACTGTAATGCATGAATAAGTTAGCAACAATTGAAGAAACTGGTGATCCCATAACCACACCTATTTGTCTGTAAAATTCTCATCGAAAGCTGAGAAAAGTCTAATGCAAGCACATATCCAGAGCTTTAGTAATGCATGAGGGAACTAATGAACATCGGTTTTTTAGATCAGTGTCAGAATTTAAGAGATTATACACAATATCTGAAGCCTTCCTAAAAGAAACATTAGTGAACAAAGAGAAAACATCAGAACTTGCTATTAACTCATCTTCTTCCATATGGTTAGTAGTGATGATGTCATTGGATTCACAAGAATTAATAATTTTAAATTTGTATCATATAACTTATTTGAATTATTAAAATGAAGAATTCTCTTTATATACTTGACTTCTGGGCAAAAAGAGGGAGCTCAAACTCGGGTTAGAATCAATCTGTGCTTATTTTATATGTGAATCTATCTATTTTACAATTCATTTCAAAATATATCTTCATCATCCGTTATATTTCTGTTCTGATAGTTTACAGTAAGCTGTTTTTATTACTGAATTGCATTAATTTGCATTTATCTTAAAGAAATTATCATGTTATTTTAACATTTAAGAAGGTTCAGGTCCACAAATGTGACCGTTTAAAAATAATATAAATGTCAACTAGAATAAAAATGGACCATTTTTGACTTTATACTTTGCCTAAATATTTCTAGTTTTGATTTGATCTACCACTAAATCAAACTCACTCAAATAGCATTGATGATAAATACAAGAATGTTTCTATTAAATTACTATTCAACACTTTATTTCTAAACGAAATAATCTCTAAAATAAAATATTTCGATAATTTTTGAAAATATACATTTATGGTACAGTAATAAGTACGTAATCTGCTAATTATTACTCTATCAAATCTAATGAATCAACAACACAATGTTGACTCATTGTACGAAGTTGAAATATCTGTACAATTCTGTTTCAACATAACGATAGATAAACTGATAACACAAAACTTAATCACCGACAATTTATTTTGCATTTAATTCTCATGACGATCCGATACTTAATAAACAGTCTTGTTTAAACTACACTAACAGCAATCTTTTTGCATGGGAATATCATTAATAAAATATTTTGAAACAGTACCAAGAATTTTACTGAGATATAAATCACATCTCATTGTCTAAAAGTGTTTTTAAATTTATGATATATTTGATGGTTAGAAGAGTATATCGTAATATTAATTTTTTTAAATTCGAATTTGCCTACCAATTCAACTTTTCATAAAAGAAAGTTATTTATAAAAGTTAAATTCATGTTCAAAGTGTTTTCTGAAATTTGATTCTCTAATTGTTTAAACAAACAGAGAAAGAATTATCAGGTGAGCACTTAGTAATTGTCAGTTATGTACTTTAAGTCCAAATGATAGTGTTTTAAAAGGAATAGACAACATTATTTTGTGTTTAACGGTGCGTCCAAACTGTTACAAATTGGGTCGTGTATAGCCTCCGAGGAAGCATAAGATTTCCATCCTTTCCCACGAGTACAATCAAACAAGATCATTGAGTTGGATATGGTCCTGGTCATCAGTATTGTAAATATGAATTACACAAGATACCTAAAATGATGGGACTACTAAATTGTACAACCGTTGGAAGCTCCATGACCAACCACCATATACAACCCTCTTAGTTATCCGACAAAACCTATACAGTCAAATCTGAAATACATCAAGTAGATAACCCGCCATAAATCAAAGTTAGTTGCTTGTCAAAGAAGATTTGAGTCTCCACCAAACAAGGGACACAATGTTGTCGGCTAGCAACCAAGCATTTCGGTCTCTTAACCTCAGATAGTTAACTAGTAGCACAAACATTGTACAGTGATGCTATAAACCATCAAGTAGTTAAATCACTGATAACTATGAATTATTCCAGTGTCAAGAGATGAGTAGCAGTTCCTAACAGGGAGAATCGCTCCCTTCTCCATAAGAGGAGAAAAATGTGGGAAGAATTTACATTACTGAGTACTGATGAGATAAATTCTCAATTTCGGGAAGCTCCGATTACTTGTGCTTTGACGTTCCATATGTCTAGAAGTTGTTATTGAATGAAGCTTATTAAGGATTCTATAGAGTGCTCTAATCGTTTGTATTCGTACATAAACCAATAAACTAATAGAAGAGACAACAACTTAGCTTTATGGGGAGACAGTAGTACTGCATCATTAGTGGAAGAAACTTATGGTAAGGCACAGTTGTTTTCCAATTACTCTAGCAATGTGTACACTGTAGTGGTGCCCTTCATTTCTGTTCATAGAAACCCTCCATACACACTTCGAACACTGTAACTCTTGAAGAACACGACGTCTCTGGTCTGATAAATAAGCCTGATGCTGGTAAATCCATGGGAACCAATAAAATGCATCTTAGATTATTAAAGTATAAAGATAGATGTTTATACCTACATAAGAGGTACAGTTGTAGGGATTTTCACAAACAATTAGACAGACTCAAAAGTCATGCAAAATGAATCCTACAAACACAGTTATTTTCTTGGTTTTCTAATAACTTCTTTGTTTATTGGGGTACAGATATCAGTTAATTCTAAAGGATGTGTAGAGTCCCTGAAATTAAAATAATAAAGCATACAATTTGTATATAATACATACAGAATATTTGGAAGATAAAATTTATATTATAAACATATTGGTACAATTTAGATGTGAATGAAAGAGGTAAGTTAAATTATATCATTATATTAGAATTCTGTAGGTCTCCACCGTTATCTGTGTTAAGAATGCATCAAGTCAATCTCGTCAGACTTGTAAATAAACAACTCTCCAGTTATATTTCACTGTATTTATAAGTAAAACCTATGTTAGTTGTTTAGAGTAAATAGTCTAAAGTTAGTCGAGCGTACAAAGTCAATGTGCTTTTTGATGGAGTTTTGTTCTCTGAGCTGGATGGTTTGGTCACGACCAAACCATCCAGCTCAGAGAACAAAACTCCATCAAAATCATCCACCTGAGCTACAAATCTTCTCCACCATCTCAAAGTCAATGTGCAACGTAGACGATGGGTGCTTTGGTTACAGCTATGAGATACTAACTTTTGTACATCAGGCTCAGCTATATCAAGAAGATCCGGTTTAGCGAATTAAGAGCCAATATTCTGACGTATAAACAAGTCAGACAAGAAAGTTGACAATAATGCTATTTAAAACCGAGTCTGATTCAGAAAAAAGCTGCACACTCAACATTTCATTAAACAGAAATGGAGTGTTTCTCAGTGATTGGAACCACAATATTTTGTTGATGGCTGCCTTGAAGTCCTTCATCAACTTTCTATAAAGGAAAATAATTTATTGATCATCTCAAGTTTTGCTGTTTGGGGAATTTGTCAGAATGATCTTCAGCATGCAGTGAATCAGTGACATGTAATTCAGTTGAAGATAAACAGACTGATCAAGCTTCAGGTACCTTAGATTTATGATTGAAGACAAAATATACTAGAAAAAGCAGTTTCATGAAGAAACGTACAACTGCGATGTTGTTTGTTAACTGAAGGTAACCTTCAGAAGAACAAATGTCTGTTTGAATAGTCTTTTTAATACAGTTTATTGAATGTTCATCAAAGATTATTTGATTTAATAGTGATATTTGATGCTAAATCTATTTGCAAGCAATTTGAATGATATTGTTGTTACGAACTCCCCTTCAACCTTGAATTTAGGCTGAATTGTTATTGATGAACTCAGAAAGCGCATAAACAGTTCAGTGCTAAGCTTGAATTTTATTCTAAATGTGCTAAGCTGAAAAGTTTAACTGTATTATTCTTTATGACCAGTCACTTAGTACTGACGACAGCGACGTTTTCTATATGAATAGAATGTAATAAATAATCACCATCTTATAATACTAAAATGACTATAATAGCCTCGTATTATGACAAAATAGGGTCTTACAGTAGAAATCAAGTTTCTCCACATAAGTTAGAGAAAGTTGAACCAGATTAGTAGGGTAATGCAATAGTATACGATGATGACTTTCACCATTTTTGACATACAAAGTTGAGTTGAGTGATATGATGGAAAGAAAAGTCAAGATTCGATTGATTTACTCATTATGAGTTTTATTCAACATTACTTCTGTTTTGATTCAATGTAATGATTACTCAATGTAATATTTCTTTTCTTTTCTCGTATGATGTTTTATTCTGCATAATATACGATATTCTTGTATTCAATTGACATGAACTATGCTCTATATGTGATTTGTGATAACTGAGTATTTTTCATATAAGTGATTTCATTCTAATTATTAATCAAAATGGGTGTACAATCAATATATAAATGAGTGTATTTTCGACTAAGGTCGTCGTCGTCACCATAGTGTTTTGGGGCTAATAAATCTTCACTTATACCAGTCTTGTATTCTTACTTTCGCGTCGTGGGAATTGTGGAGGTCCCTTCGTTCCGAGTATAAGTGATCAGCGATTCTGACATAACAATCAGCGAAGACCAGATACAAAAAGTAGCATTCCATTCACAAGTTATAACATTGATATTCAGGAAATTTATCGATTTTTTCATTTCTTGAAATAAAAAGACAAAAGACTGAAAGGTGAGCTTATAACAATAACAATTTTCATTTTATGTACTTTGAGGGCTAATAAGTTACCCATGAATTGATAGTATATAAGCTTCAACAAAAGATAATTACTTAAATACAATGTATAAAACTACAAACGTACGTATGAATGAATCATTTGCAAGAAAAAATTAGTAAGGAAAATATTTTCGCAGGTCAATAACTAACGATAACTTAAGGCTCTAATTAAAAGGTATATCTTTGACCATCGATCTCGGAATGCCATGCAAGTATTTGTAGACAGTCAACAGTTGAAGTTCTTTATGTTCTCTTTTATTTTCTTGTGCCATGTGTTTTTGTCCCTGGGCTAAAAGTACACTAACGAAAAGAAATTCGTCATAACTTTCTGGTTTTGATACCAGTTCTAGGTATTTCGATGGCGAATTTCAATTATCTTGATTATTATTTAACATGTATCGTGAACTTGTTTGAATCATAATTTCGAATCTCATATAAATAATTTTGAGAATCTTGAGAAGTGTCTCATTAAACATTGAATTTTATTTCACACAAACTATTCTAAGCTAATCTAAAACTTTTAGTCAGGTATATTGCACTGTATTTTATAGCGATTGTTATATCAAAAAGTTTTAATAACAATTAATGCTTCATATCAAATGTCTTGTGTTGCTGAAGTGAATGGCTAAATTATTTATTTAGTGAAAGGTCACAAACAAAAATGATGGCTTCTGTGACACAATAATTTGTATATATATTCCTGTTCAAAGTTAAATGTACAAAATATTAATTGGAATCCTGGATTAGTATAACCGGAACTCGTACGACGGACTACAGTGCAAAGGAGTGCATGGAGGACAGCTGGCAGATGCATTCGAGGTAAGGACCGGAGTCAGACAAGGCTGTCTACTCTCTCCCTTTCTCTTTCTTCTCGTGGTCGACTGGATTACGAAGACCTTGACATCTGAGGGAAAACGCGGCATACAACGGACAGCTCAGAACCAATCAGACGATTTGGACTTTGCAGATGACCTAGCCCTCCTATCGCATACACACAAACAAATGCAGATAAAGACATCATCGATGAACAAGGAGGATCAGATGCAGACGTAAAGTCGAGGATTGGCAAAGCAAGGACAGCATTCCTTCAATTAAAGGACATATGGAACTCAAAACAACTTTCAACCAATATCAAAGTCAGATTCTTCAATATGAACGTCGAGGCAGTTGTACAGTACGGAGCTGAAACTTGAAGAAGTACTATGACCATCATCAAGAAGGTGAAAGTATTTATAAATCGTTGTCTACTCAAGATACTCAACATCTATTGGCCAGATAACATCAGCAGCAGCCTTTTGTAGGAGAGAACAAACCAGCTTCCAGCTGAAGAGGAAAAGACGATGGAAATGGATAGGATATATATTACGCAAATCATCAAACAGCATCACGAGGCAAGCCCTAACTTGGAATCCTGAAGGGAAGCGAAAAAGTGGAAGACCAAAGAACACATTACGTCGGGAAATAGAAGCGGATATGAAAAGGAGAAATAATAACTGGAAAGAGCTTGAAAGGATTGCCCAGGAAAGGGTTGAATGGAGAATACTGGTGAGCGGCCTATGCTCCTTCACGAAGAGTAACAGGTGTAAGTAAGTAAGTAAAGTGGATTAGTATAAGTGTTCATTTTCAAATGTCACACATTTCAAACTAATATTTGAGTCATTAAAACTTATCAAACTTTATTAAATATGTGATGTTTTATTATTATTTTTAACTTAATAAATTAAATTTCATAAACTCAATGATTTAAAATATCCAAGGTCATTTAAAAAATTTAACATTTTTCTTGTAAATTTTGAATTTAATTAGCCATGTTTATTAGCTGTGAGTAACACCTAGTTTTTAACCCTTTTTTTAATTTACAAACTGAACATGTGTAACTTGGTAATGAATTGCAACTCCCATTACATTGTGTTAATAATTATGAAATGTATATACATTTAGTGTAGTGCAGCAACAAGTTTCATTTCTGACGGAAGGTTATGAAATAAAAACATCATAGATTCTATCATCTGGTTGATTTATTATTTCACTTTGTCACGTTTTAAAAATCGAGTTGATTTTTTTTTGATAGTCAACTTTGTATAAATAAATATTTCTTCCATTCTCATAATAATGGGGATAAATTTCATAGTATCTGTACAGTTAACTATTTCTTGAAATTTTATTTACTTTCAATGACTAATTCATAAATAAAATACTAACCAGCTGATGAAATTCTGAATTATCCGTGAAAAATACTACTTACAAATGAAATGTGCTAATCATAAGCTGATGTGATAGATTTTAATTTATCTAACAAACTGCTAACGCAATCTACTAATAATATCCATATATTGGAATGAATATGAAAGATGACATAAAAGTTATTTCTTTAGAATAGTAAAGATTATATAGTATTTTAAGAAGTTTAAATTATTTTCGTTTATTGGACAGTTCAAGAAAGTAAACGTCATAACAGTAAGTTTGTTCATATTTCTTTTAACCTCTTTATTGAATGAAGTGTAAATGTTGTTTTGAATAAAAAATTTTATTCTTGAAAAATCACATTCCTAACAGTTTTATGTATAAATGTTATTTTAGTAAAAACCAATTAAACATATGTCCTGAAGTCCACATTTGTATTACTGATCTCACGGATAAGTTTCTTATTTAAGATATTAGCAAAGGATGTAATGACAAAAATCAAAAAGTGATTTTAATAACTTGAATATCTCTATTTTCAAGAGTTTACTCACGAAACATGAAATCCAAAAACTTTTAAGATCACTAAAAATACATAATAACAATACTATAGAGCCAATGTTTTATCTCAGTTATCATTCTTATTTTGAATTTTGAAGTAAACTTTTTATTGTAGAAAATATTTACCCCTTTCTAGAGGTTAAGCGTTCGTGCACAAGACCGATGGATCCTGGATTCGAATCTCGCAGGCAAGACCGTGGATGCGCACTGATGAGACGTCCCGTTTTAGAACAAAACGGCCGTTCAGTGCTTCCAGGTTTTCCATGGTGGTTTAGCTTCAATACTAATATATTAAATGAAATATATGCATTAATAAACAAAGCAAGTAATTCAGTCAAAAAAATCTGTTCCAAAATATTCAATTTTAAAGCTTTACATCACGATATAACTATAAATTTACCAATATGAAGAAAATCCCACGTGTCGGTTATAATTTGATACTTGAATACATAACTTTGTTAGCTAATTTCATAAACAAGTAAATGTTTGCGCATAGTATTAATTAATTATTAATTTATTTGTAAATTAATTAAGCATAATAAGTACTGTTAGTATGAAATGAATTGAACAATTGCAAATATGTATTAATCAATTATGATTAGAAACATATAGACGAAATTTGAGATCAAAAGAAAAATGCTATACAAGAGTTTACCAAGTTGATTTAAAATTTTAAAGGATTAAGTTTGTGTTTTCTTGCTTGTTTATATGTAGTTTAGCTAGAGTTTGTAGTTGATATTAGGTAGTGAGTTTTAAGTGAAATTATCTTCATTTCCAAAAGATTAATCATGTGATTAATTTTCCATCTTTCTTGTATAATAAGATTGAGAGAAGCTTGAGAATGAGTTAAAACGTGAATGCTCTCAAGAAGTATATTATCTCGACTAAGCAAAAACTTACTCTGTCAAGATTGGTAATAAACAAGTGACTGACAAAGTAGAACTGGCGTCTTTCTGAACTATATTTAAATAAGAACAAAGCAAATACTTACAAAAAAACGAAAAATCACAAGCAGTGAAAAACGAATTATATTTTGTCGTTACTATTGCAACGTTAGCATTAAATGCAGTAAATCATTTCATTAATAATACTCTATACCCCTAGATCGTGTGATAAACGAACTACCACTCATTCCATTCAAACTTTATTATTAGTAATTTTAAATTCCAGTTTATGTATTGCTAATGTTCCTATCAAAACCTATTGAAGTTAATCGTAAAGTTATGAATTTCTTCCAGGACCGATCCGAATAAAAGATTTTTTAACTGTATACTCTAATCAGTTGTGAACTAATCTTTTAGAATGGGAATACCGAAAGAAGACTAAATCTTGACATAAGAGAGGAAAAGAAAAATAGGACTTAACATTCCTCTTAATATTATTAATTAAATCAAAAATTTAAACCTAATCTCTAGCAATTGATTAACTTTCACATTTCCTTTCAGATGAATTTCAGCCAAGCGTAAACAGGTAAACATTGACTATTTAAACTTTTTGTCGTTCAAGAAAACTACATATAGACTTTTATGTTAATATAGTAAAATGATCCATAGTAAACAATTTATTTAATAACATTATCTCTTACATAGCCATTATTAGTTATAGGATATTTGATATAGTTTGTTTATAACAAGGGACTAACCACTTGCATGAGTTTGTTAGTTCTAAGTGATATATAACGTGGTTTTTAAGGTAAATACTTAATATTTTTGGACGGTGAAACCTTGAGCTGTTAGCAGTAATAACTTGAGTAATAGAACTTTACACTGAACCATTAACTTTTCATAGGAAAGTATGCAACAAAACGTCCTGAAATGACTACAACGCTTCTTTCTGTACTAACTTATATTTTCTATAAACATTATCAATATAAATTGTAGTGAGGATTACCTTATCATGATTTAAAAGACTTAGTGTGTAATAAAATTGTTAGCTAAATTGATTAAACTTTTGAAATACAGCTGAGTTTTATCTTGAGCGGATTCTGTCAAGAAATACCAATGATTGTCAAGTAGTTATTTTTTCGCATGAGTAAATAATCAAATTTGTAAAATGACTCAGCTTTAAAAAGTTAATAGAAAGCCAACTACATAGTAATTTAAAGTATGATCCTTTGATTTTATAGTTTACTTTTGGATCTAGGATGTCGCAACATAGCATCCAGAACGAAGTACTGTGCTCAGGATTGCTAGCGCCAACGGAAAGTGCGTTTAGAACAATATCTACTTACGTCGTTCAAAAATGGTCGGATAATAAGTCAGAAGAATAGTTGTTTAATATTCAGAATTCAGTGTAATCAGCCATAGTTCAGTGTTGGTGAATTAAATTAGTCAAAACATTCAGTTACACGTCTCAATAAATTGTGGTCCCAAATGTGTTTGACACTTATGCTCCAATCAAATTTCGAAAAAGACCAAGAGGTGCATGCATAATATTTTTTGTTAATGGATTGATAATTTTTAGGTGATTGATAAATACGAGAAACGATTGTCTATTAAGCTTACATGTTTGCAATTTGTAGCACAATAATAAGTAGAGTATGGTATGTCTAGTTATGCGTTTGTAACCACTTTTCATGTATTAACGAGAGTTGTTCCAATAAAATTTTACAATGATAACAATTTTCCAGTAGACTTGTAGTAAATGAAAACTCCGATGGTTAAAAACAATTTACTGTTCAAGCCCTAACTAAAGAGTGTTTTAGTAAAATATGAAAATCATACATTAAATATATTATTTGCACATCTTTCTTCAGTTGTCCTTTACATGTTTCACGATTCTTTCAATCCTGTTTTCATTACAATTGTTCTCTGTTTCCCTTCCTATTCTCTTCAATTCGGTCTTCTGCTGACAGGCATTCCACATTCGATTGCTACTACATACTACTTATATCTGTCAACATAAGTAGCATACACCACAGACTTGGTTTTATTTATTTACCTGGATTTATGTTTATAATATCTTAATCGAATAAACCCTTGAAAACTGCATAGTTTAAGTTAAAATTATCTCAAGCCTTTTCAGAGGTAATCTTGGACATAGAATTGGCGTGGAGCTACGATTACAAAACAGATAATACTCTTATTTTTCTCCTTTATTTTTCGCCATGCGTCATAAATAGTGAAAATTATCTGTAGAAACAAATAAATCCAACATTACTTGAATTATTTTTTCTGATTAGCGTTTTTTAGCGCGTTAGTTTTCTACGGGATGGGGTCGGTAACCCCATGCCCAACCCTCCTCCTTTATCCGGGCTTGGGACCGGCAGTAACTCTTGAAGAGCTACAGGCGGAGTTAATTAATTAAATTAAATCATATTTGGGCCTATATCAGTTCGCCTTGATTCAGAATAGGGCATCTCTTCACATTGGTCACTAAATGACTACTTAATTTACACCACTAAGCAATCAGTGTCAATTGAAGTGTGTGAGTGCTACATATACATCTTTAAGATACTAAATAACTTAAGCCTGTCACCCCTCGTGGAGGAGTATTGGCCAAACACCAGCATTCTACATCCAACTATGACCTAGTCAATCCTTTCCAGCTCTTTAGAGCTGCTATTCGTTCTTTTGATGTCTGCTTTCGATTCCCGGCACAGTGTGTTCTTTAGTCTCCCTCTTCCTTTTTCCTTTAGCATTCCAAGTTAGATATTGGCTAGTGATGCAGTTTAATGATTTCAGCAATGTATATCCTATCCATCTCTAGCGTTTTTTCTAATTTTCTCTTCAGTTGGAAGCTGGTTTGTCTGCTTCCATAGTAGGTTGTTGCTGACCAACGGTCAGTGAGTATCTTACATAGAAAAATGTTTATAAATACTCGTACTATTTTGATGATGGTTGTGGCAGTTATTCAAGTTTCAGCTCTGTAAAATAGAATTGTTTTGACGTTCATATTGAAGATGCTGACTTTGACGTTGGGTGTCAGTTTTTTTTGACTGCCATATGTTCTTTAGTTGCAGGAATGTCACTCTTGCTTTGTTGCTCCTTGTCTTCACATTTGCATCAGATCCTCCTTGTTCATCGATGATGCTGCCCAGATACTTTTAAGGTGGTGATCATCAAAAGAAAGTTTAAATTCAGCCATTCTTATTCATCCATTTGATGATTTCAATCAAAACCGAATACCTAAATACTACAGAACATATAATTCACAAACCTATGTCCATATATTTTATGATATTTACTTTAAAATAATGGTAAACTTCCCTCTCCTACATAATAATCAATGTATCCAAATCAAACAACATGGCTTCAGGTTGCTCTTTATGATATAAGACAAGTAAATTTAATCTGAATGAAATTTTCACAGCTGAAAACTTATATACTTTGCTCAATTTACAAGATAATTTAAAAAGGATTACAAAGTAATCTGTTATTTCCATTAGTATCCATCGTATTCTTGTTCAAACTTCAATTTGTGTGCTAATATTTTTGTTCAAATAGCAACTAACAACTAGTGTACTTATGATCAAATATACAATTAACAATGAGACTAGATTTTTTCGTACTTATTAATTTGCGTGTTCTACTTAAGAATTTTGAGAACAAAGGATAACATCAATGATTCAAAAGAATTAATTAACGATAAAATGTAAAATTCATAAGATTGCAAGTCAGAGAATTTTATGGCTGAATCATTATTTATAATCTACTAATTATACATTTTAATCATTGAAGTACATCATCACTCGTGCACTAAAAGTAACATAGATCAATCGTATCTAACTCTATCGATCAAGATGCAATTTAGTTAATTGTCTATATATGCTCTGTTTTTTATGTTAAATGATTGCAGAAGACTGACTAGAAAGCTTTTTGTATCACTTTAACTATCAACATATTTTCAGTTTTTCATATATCTTTCGTTTATTATAGGGAACTATTCAACCATTGTTTTCTAACTTTTGATAATTTGGCTAGAATTATTCAAAATGATCATGCATTAAAATAAAAGTGAATAATATTATGTGAACTTACTGATATACGGTGAAATCCAATTTTATAAATTATTTCTTATAGTAAAAATTTTTTTGTTGATATTTCAATATTCATACAAAAATAATCAGTGAATTTAGCTAACGTCATTGGGTTCAACTCCAGTCTCTGTATTTTCTTTTGTAACTACATATTCTATCCCTCCGAAAAGTGCGATTGAAAAATGACTACAATAAATTGGTGGGAGTTGCAACCAAGATAATCAAAAACTTTGTAAATAAGGGTCAAACGCAGAAAATCTCTTGTATTACAAACGACGATATACAGTGGTAAATGCCAGGATGGATAAGTTTCAGATATTGTTCACAAGTGTTTGAGAGGACTATGATAACGATGATATTTGTTTTCGCTGCTCATTTTATGGTTCCATGTTAATCATCATTTGAGCATTGTGTAATGGACCTTCGTGTATTTTGCTCGTTGAAAACATACTCATAAGATTTGAATCTCATTTCATGGAAGGGTTAAGTGACAAGATTTCGTAAGCCTGAAAATCACATTGTAAACTGGATTTTATTTCATGAGACACGGCTCGTTAGTGAATATATGAAAAAGGAATGTTTTGTGTAATTTTTCTGAAGTAATTAGTAAACAATATACTTCCAAACTTTGCTGGACAGAAAGGGCAAATATTTTGCTCATTAAGATCAGTATTTTGTTTGTAGAATAGAGGTGACGAGATCCCAAATACGGAAGGATTTGATAATGAGGCTGTTCAAGACTTTTCTTATTAAGTAATCTCAAGTCCGATGTAAAAAAAGTCAGGGTGAATGGGTGGGAAGTTACGCCTTAAATGTTGGCTTATGTAGTATGAATTGTAATATCGGAATTAGCTAGTTGATAGGGGAGGTGTGATGCACGGCATAATAAATTGTGATATGATCAGGATTCTTGACTGGACCGCTCCAGCTTGTAGCGTAGTGTCGAACCGCGTTTGATTATGAACACCCCTAGAAGACTACGTGCCAGTAAACCAATAAGATTCCCGTAGGCCAATATCAGAAGGCAGATGATGGCTGTAGTCGAAATGTATTTGTTGGCGATCTCGTGGTATCGAAAGAATACCGAGATCGTGCGAAATGAGTACAAGCGTGGTTGCTAAGCGTAACCGAATTCGTACAAGTTCAAAGTCAACGGGAAAATAAGTGTAATGGCTGCCATTAGCATAGTTAAACAAACGAGCACAGTAAAACAGTCACTGGTACAATTGGTTATAATAATAATTGTTTTCAATGAACCAATCGCGTTCTGTTGACAAAAGTAGGTCACTACAAGCAAGTCTTGCGTTCAATAAAACCATTATGATCACTATTAATGTCAATTACTTACGAAGCTAATTATTTTGGGGATTTATTTACCGTTACATGTGTCTTAGTTAAAATAGGTGTGATTGTTATTTTAATCCCTGAGGATTAAGACGTTTACGTAGAGTAAAACATTACTATAGGGTAGTAAACGGTACTAATGTATGTAACTATGAACACAAACCGTACGAAATACCTATATAAATATTGTCACTCGGCTGAAAAGCCAAAAGTTGTTGTAGAAACAAATTTGTCAAAGGATCAAATAATTTGATCATCCAAACTCAGATTGACAAACAATTGCACAAATCTATTACAACGAAGCTATGAAAATTTCTTTAATTAGACGCTTAAAAATGCAAACTACTTACTTTACAAGCGAAGACATTTTCAACAGACTAGGAATATAATTTTACCGTCAAATGGTACCTCGATTTATTCATCTAGAGTGATGAGCAGAGCAGAATTAAAATGGCTAATCAAAATCAAGAAACGAAAACGAAACACGAGGAAAGCGAGATCGCGTGTAAAACAGATAGTAACAACTTTAGCTAGAACCGAAATGTAGGTAGAATGCACGAACTAAGGTATTAAGAATAGCAACTATCAATGGAGCTGAAGTATTAACACTATTGGTTTTGTTGTGTCGTACAAATATTATATCTTTTGTGGTCAACATCTCAAATATCGTGTTTTTAATTGTAACTAGCGTCCCTTCAAGTGTTTTTACAGTTCGCAGTTGGAGTTCAGAGTTAGTGAAAAATGCCAGTGGAAGCGTAAACGATTCTTATTTTCATTAATGTCACTTTGCACAATCATAATGAACAGTATAACGAAAAAGCCCTTTTACTGCATCGGTGACTGGAACTCGTTATGGTTATATAAATTTGCTTCTGTGGCACTAGTTTGTTCGCTTTGGTTCGGGTATCTGTGATACCTGTCTACCTTGCTCCACTACATTTTTTCTCACATAGAATGTGGAAACTCCAACAGTAAAAAAGACTTTATATTTAGGGTGATGCGAAAGCTTTTTGTTTCATAAGACATACACATGAAGGAAGCTTTACAAACAGACACATTTATACACACTTACATACATGTATACATGCATACGTAAAGGAAATTACGATTTTGAGCGTTTCAAATCCGCTAATACTTCAAGCACTGTGAAATATATCACGATAAAATGATCAAATGTATGATACCGTGGAAGCCTCTGCTTGTTTTAGGCTTTAACCGTATTCTTCATGTCTAGAATAGGTTTTTCCTAGCAAGAAACATTGACAGACCAAGTAGTATTTCGCATGTGCTCCAATTAGGCTGCTAAGATCCAAGTGTAGACAAGTGTGGAACCATTACTATATTACTCAGTCGAAATCCTATCATTAAATTTCCAGTGGTAAATAACTCACTGAAATAAATGGCTTGGAAGGAACTTGGTTAAATATCTTGACTATCAGCCAATATGATGTACGTTATATTTTTCTCTTACGCATGTGATATATTGGTCTGTTCCACAATTACTATCTTAAATGTTTGTATTCCGCTTAAGTGATTATCAATAGTACCTGGCATTCTGGCATTTATGAGAATTAGTAAACATGAAACTGTTAGGTACTTTGTTTTACTTTTAGATTTTATTTCTAGGCTACAACTACAAAGATCCTTTGTGGAGAAAAGGATTTTAATGATCAGTTACGCTCACGATGGTATGGGTCTTAGTGAAGCGAAAATGTAATAGTATCTAAATTTTTACGATCAAATTTAAGTAGATAAATTGCCAAAGGACAACAAATATAATAATTTTTAAATGTGAAATTAGTGCAAACCATACAAGGGGAGTGTGTTCGCAAGCAGATCACCAAAACAAAATGTTCTGTAAGTCTTCGACCTTGATGATGACTCCATTAGTTTTACTCGACACATCTCTAGCTGAAGACACTTGTTCAAGCATCCAAAAATAGATCAAGCTTGAGTAGTCTATTCTGCACGTCTACTATAACGGCTAATAAGCTGTGATCATATACTTCTCGACACACCAATTATCTCACAAATATATCTTTGAACCCCTTCATTCATGACTTCAGATTTGACTGGGTCTGAGGTTGTCGATTACAGCGGTGTTGTGGACAATGAAGTTATCGGGTATTACATATCCGTAACATCTTCCGTGGTGAGCTTGGACGTGATCTGGTACACTGAAAGATAAACTTTCAGTCCCTCTCTTGTTATAAAACTACATATACTTTTTACATACCTCCATAAGCTTCATCCTCGTTATGTCAAAGCAAACATTTAAAAATTTAAAGACTAGGTCTATTATGCATTTCATCTCGCAACTCGAGCCATTCCGATCTGACAACATCGGAGCCCCTTCTCTCATTAAGAAAGCTGACTTGCGTGAGAATGGTATGATGGATATACTTGCTCAGTTACTCGTAGTTGTGAAGACATTACCGTGCGAGTTTCAAAGGAATTTTACGCCTGCTACGTCCACTAGTGTATTTCTTGACTTTATGAAACTGTGTAAAAGGCCGTCCTTGGACATTGAGACCTAACCAACGGGTAAACGTTAAGCCATCAAACCTGGAAAAACGAGTTCTCAGACAATCCGGCAACTGAACTGTTGTTACATATACGAAAGGTCCTTGCTCAATGAAATTTTGAAGTATCTCTTTTTGGAAAGCTTTTCTGCTCGAGTTTCTTTAGAAAATGCAAGCGGTTCTTTTTCAACCTGAAATAATGCTGTAGACAAATTAAATCTATCTTCCAATCATTTTCTAAGGATCACCAAAATCCCTATCACCAAGGTCTGTTTTGTCAAAGAGAAGCCTCAGAGGACAGATCACTGTAATACTCTAAATTTCTTTGTTAACCCCAAGTATAACTAATGAATCATTTGTCTTTGATTGCCCGCTGATTACGAATTCCAAATACAATACGTGCTCATCTAGTTCTATCTGCCTTAAACTACACTATCGCGGGAATTCCTAGTCAGTACTGTGATTCGATCACTTGTAATCATCACAGGTCTTTTTCTAAAGACTGATTTCTGCCAGCCAGTAAGTTAAGACGTCTAGTAAAACAAACGAAATGTGCCATATCATTTAGGTTACATGACACTTTTCGAATTATCATTTAAAAATAATATGTTTCAGATTATGTTCGCTAAGCATTAAATGATTTTGATTTTTTATATGTTCACTATATTTGTGTTTTATATTTTAGCATACCACATTGAAATTGTTGTTATTTGGAAATAAACCATAATAATTCCAATCCGTGCCATAAGACATCAGCAAAGCAGGCTTGTACCCGAAATAAGATACATAAAGTAGCTAATAGGTAATTTTCTATAAGTTAAGGGAGTTTGATAAACTTGTGGTAAATGTACAGACTGCAAAAATTAACAGAACAAACGCAAATAATATCAAAGACTATTCACAAACCAAGTTTGTCATGCCTGTCTCCACAAACTTTAGAACTTAGAAAGAGTAGTGATAACATACATCAGTTTGTTACATTATCTTATTTGCTCAAACCTACTCAAGCGTACATGAACCTTTTGATTGGCTTCCTTACTATGGTATTCAAATAGCTTTGTTGCTATCCCGTTAGCAATTTCATTTCTCGATTTCTGGTTGTCATTTGTTGACAAAGGTTTATCGAACTTTTGGTTTACATGATGTACTATCTAGCTAGTACTAAGCTGAACGGAATCATTGATTTTTCAACTTACAGTGAGATTTAGTTGCGACGTGAAAGTAACGAATCTTTTTCCGGATGTTTCTATTTACCCGGTTGAATATGGATCAACCTGTATCTTTCAATTACAAGTTTGTCCTCTTTCTCTGTGGGTTTGTGTGGTGTTCGTTTGCACCTGAATTTTGATTGATTTCGAATTCTAAACACAATACGTTCGTTCGTGCTCACCTGAATCTATACGGCTTAAACTGCACTGTTTCAGGGATTCTTAGTTATTACAACAATTAGAATAGTTGTAATCATCATTGCTTGCTTGCTGAAATGCTCTAAGAATGCTTTATTACACAATTTTTGAGTTGTCTAACCTCGAACTACTGCTATTTAGCTAATTCTTTTATGATTTTCCGGTGAGTGAATTCCTAAGTAAGAACGTTATGATCGTGGCAAATTATTTGGTTTTCTTTGATCAGTTTGTACTCTTTGATAACATAATGAATGAACGTTAGTCGAAAATCTTACGTATTGTTGGGAAACAAGTTTGTCGTAAAAACTCCTCGTTTCTCGTACATCGATACAAGTTTTTAACTTTTCATGGTTCGTTCTGAGGTTGCCACAAGTATTCGGAGTTTGACAACGTTTTAACCAGTAACGCCTTTTATAATCCAAATGTGCCAGCCCAGTTAAATCAGAAGGCAGAAGAGAAGAGTTTCGAAGATATATTTGATAAGCTGCCGACAAATCGAGAAGTGATCGGTTTAATCTGGCTAGCTCAATGTTTTGATTGGATTGCACATGAACTATACGGTTTACTGCTCCTTCGTCCCTTCGAAATAAATACTTACTCTGCTGTCAAAACTCAGGCGTCGTGTATATCTTTTCTTGTAAAACTGCTACAGCCAAAGTTCTTGAAGCACGGAATCACTTTTATATATGATAGAGATTAAGATGTGGAAACGACAACATCGTAGGTTTCAAAGTGCCCAGTTAGTATCACTGGTATTTACCGATAGCTTGTGCAAACTACTTATTTCTTAACACAAGGAGTTAATTGAATGTTACATTTCAAAGTTTGTACCGCAAGGTCATATTTAGTTTAGTATTCTTCCTTGCTGCTATTTTGATCTCACAAGCCACATAATAGACCACGAAAATTGTTATGGCTGTTTTCCATCAAATTTACAGTCTATTGACATGCAATGGACGAACCCTGTATACAAAATCAAAAAGGTCTTAACAAATATGTTGCTAGACACTACATATTGGCTAGAGAGTTCTCAAACTCCAAAGCTATAGTATAATAGTAGTAAGTGATTTTTAAGGAGCTCTTGGTTTATTGTGCATATTAACAGAAGGTAGTTTAACCTCCACTTCTCACGTCGCTTTTATTGACCATTAATTGAGAGTTGAAGTTCTACTTGCTGTTTATTTGTTCTCAAGGTCAAAGATTTTGTAAGTCCCGAACTTTACCAGCCTATTTTCTAAGCACGTAGATGCACAGAAAATTAGCGATTTTGTGATAGTTTATATTGTGAGCCATTTTCCATAACATTTCGCACCACTCTTTCATGTAATCTTAAAACTGCGGGATCAAAGTTGATTAATTAGTATGTATATACATACTAATGAAAGATTATATGGTAAAAGGGATATATCCCTTTTACCACACAACTATTTCAATGCAGAGCACTTAGAAACATCATGCGTGCTTTTTCTATTAATTGTTCGAGAAATGAGATGTAGATCATTATTGGTCCATGTATTCGCAGTTCAACAACCATTGACTGATTAGTTCAGTCTTCAGCAATAAGTTCTTCTAGATAATGTTAGTAGTTCAAGAATAGGTAGTTAGATTAATCGCGCGATTATACTTTGTAGTTGGATTGTGTGCAGAAATGTCTTGGTAGTTGAAGTTTGTTTTATAGACAAAACCAAATTTTGTGTCAAATAGGTCTTATTCAGTTTCAGTTTGGAAAGGACAGGAGGCTTGATGGCCTGTGCTAGTCCTGGCAATGGTGTTCTCTCAGTTGATCCAACTTTTTTTCGAAAGAATCTACGGACGAAGCTTCAACCACGTGCTGAGGTAATGAATCCCACTTGTTGATGATTCGGTGGGAAAGTCGATAATCAGCTGACAAGTATTTTGTTCTGGGCTTGTGAACTTTTTTGGAGTGCCCTCGTAAATGCTCTGTTTTGGAAGACAAGGCAAATGAGGGCATATCAGGTGCAAATTTATCACTAAGCAATTTAAAAACTAGTCAAGTCGCCTCTAGTTCTACGATATGACAAAGGGAATAGGTTTAGCTTGGCCAGTCGAGCATCATACGGAAGCTTCTCTATTCCGGGATCAGCTTAGTTGTTGTTCTCTGGACCTTTTCTAAAAGCTCACTTTCTTTTTAAACAGGGGCTAGGCGCCTGTATATAGTACTCAAGTTTAGGACGTACGAACAGTGTGTACAAAGTCAAAAACGTTTGAGCGTCGACATGAGTAAAAACCCTACGTATTGACCATAAAGTTCTTAAAGTTTTGGCGGCTATTGCACGGCAGTGTGCAGTAGTCTTTAAATCTTGGCTAACGATGACTCCTAAGTCATTATGTGTCTGGACAACAGGTAGCTCAGTGTTATTCATCGTGTATGTATCTGTACTGTGGTAACCGATATGCATCATAACACACTTGGAAGTATTTATAAGCAACTGCCAGGTATGAGACCATTCAGATAATTTCTCCATGTCATTTTGGAGTTCTAGGCTGTCACCCTTACATAGTATCATTCTCCATATCTTGACATCGTCCGCATATAGCAAGACCGATGATGATATTATGCGAGGAAGGTCATTTACATACAAGAGGAGTAGCACTGGCCCCAAAACTGTACCCTGGGGCACTCCACTAAGCACAGTTTCCCAGCTAGATAACTTTAAGTTCACCCGTACTCTGTTGGCGCCCAACTAGAAAGTCTTCTATCCACATCAATAGATTGCCTCCAATTCCGACATTTTTTAGCTTATATAACAGCCAGTTATGCGGAACTTTGTCAAAAGCTTTACTGAAATCAATGTAGGCTACGTCTACAGGTAACTTTTGGTCTTTAAGAGCGCACCAGCTTTCACGAGCAACTAATAAGTTAGTGCGACAAGAATAACCTATTCTGAAACCGTACTGCTTCTCCGAAAGGATCCGGTTTACATCGAGGTACTTAAACAGCTCCTTCCGAATAATCTTTTCTAAGGTTTTAACAACCACACTAGTTAGACTAACGGGTCGGTAATTCTCAGGTTCATGTTTCGTACCTGTTTTGAAGACAGGACTTACTATATCGTTCTTCCAGTCTTTTAGCAAACGACACTGCTTTACGGATAGCTTAAAGCATACACTTAAAGGGTTCGCAACGAAGTTATATAATGCCTTTAGTAGCCTAGGATGCAATTCATCGGGCCCCGTGGATTTACCTATGTCAAGCTTATTTAGCAGACCAAAGACATCGAGTTCTTTAATGGTCACGCTATCCAGTGTATGTGTGGGGGGGGGTCTGTATGCGCTGACGGGAAGGGTGCTTCTATGGTATATACATTGCTAAAGTAGTTTGTGAACACTTGAGCCTTACCAAAGTCATCCTCCACTAATGATGCGACAGTACTGTCTCCCCATAGTGCAGGAATAATTCCTCTTCTTTTTGTCCTTTGGTTTATATAGCAATACAGGCGTTTAGGACATTCTATGGATTCCTTAACAATTTTTTCTTCGTACATCTTTCTAGACTTACGGAGGGTCAAGGCACAGGTATTCCTAGCTTTTCGGTACTGAGATTTCGTCTCATCAGTCCCCAGTAACCTAAATCTATACCACATTTTTCTTCTCTTACGGAGAAGGATGCGGACCTCCCCACTGAACCATGGTGGGGAGTTTCTCGGCCCCCTTGGTATAGTCCAGGGGATGTGGGGTGCGGTAATTTTTAAGTATAAATCTCGGAATGCGTCCCAAGCCGTTTCAATTGAGGACTCTGGGTATATTGTCCAATCTACTAACGATGCTGAGTGCATGATATCTGGTATGTTTGCTTTCCTGACGTTAGGTCTGACGCGTGCTCGTGATTGACAGTTATATGGAAGTCAAAAGTTAAAACTGCGTGATCACTTTTACCTAGGGGTGGCATGTAATGGAGGTTCGCAACATCATCCTCATAGTGAGTTAATATAAGATCTAGTAAGGATGGTTCAGTGTCCGGGTCGTACCTAGTCGCTTCTTTCACATGTTGCACTAGGGCAATGTTATAACCGCATCAACTAGTTCCTGCTCGAAGGAATTATCTGACGGTTCAATTCGTAGATTTCCCCAATCTACCATAGTTGCATTAAAGTCCCCTAGGATTAAACACCGACCGCTTTGCGACCAATTATTGAGCCTGTTTAGTAGGACATCATTATGGTTGGGTTGGCTAGAACGTCCTCTACTCAGTACCATGTACCTCTAATATCAGTTTCGTATGATGTTAGTGTAAGATCTAATTAAAAGAAACCTACAAAATCATGAAGCAAAACATGACATGAGTCCACTCGCTTAGTGTAAACCTATGGCTGGTCTCTGAAGCAGTCTCCTTCCAACAGATAAGCTAGCAGCTTGCTTCGACTGAACGGCTGCGTAGGATCACTCAAGTTCATCTGTCATATTTAGTGCGTGGTCTTGTTTCAGATTTACTATTATTACTTTTGTGGTGTTACATTTCAAGTATCTTCAGAAAGTTATATCTATTTCAACCACGCAGATGATAATACTTCGTTCTACGAGCTTTTGAAGGATGCAGCCGGTTGATGAGGGTTTAGATTATGCATCTCAAGGGATGATGGATGAAGTAAGTTGTTAATAAACCTTTTATTTTTCCAGGACATAACATGCACAATATCTAGTGAACGAGCCCCAGACCTTCATGCTGATTTTCGTCGAGGTAGTTCATATCTTCAGTAAATATTTTTCTCTAGATTTTGGTTACGACCCTTTCGACGATGATGATTTAGATTAAATTTGTTACGAAAAATAAATATTTGTTTCTTCTGAACCGTTTTCTCGATTTAGTGTAGTGAAAACTGTGTCTGTCTGCTTATTTCTATTTTTGATCATAATACAAACTGCAGTGTAATCATTTTCAGTTTCATTTAATGATGTCAATTTTTCTGTCATTAAATTGCACTACGTTCATTAACAATATAGTCTTAATGACCGGTAAAAATCTCATTGTTTTAAGATTAATACTTTTGGGATTAAAATCCAATGCGGTCATTTGGATTTTGCGTGGAATTGACTGACCATTAAACTTCTACTTGGTTTCGCTTGATCAAATCAACAAGTTTTCGTTACTGTTGAAACAGAATTCGATATTTAACCTTTGACCATTTTTAACAGGTTTAAGCTAATCTCATCAGTTGAATAGTTAATCTCCTTAACAATTATGCAATATGTTTAGTCAAGGGATGTTTGCCTGTAGTCTTGTTAAGTTACTTGACTTCAGTGTTTCCAAAAATTCTTGGTGTCGATTTCTAGTTTTAGGTCTTATTTATTCCGAACATTTGACAGTCTAACTTAACCCTTAAATTAAATGCAAATTTCAGTGTTATAAAAAATGTAAATATATGCAGAAAAGCATAGTTACCTTTTTAGCCCACGGGTGCACATTTTATTGTAGTAGCATACTGTACTTCTGGGCATTCACAACGTATCCAGTGAATTCCCCTTACCGTTTTCTAATTTCCGTCAAAGTTGCTCTTAAGTAGAAGTGAACTCTTTCACCTTTTTGCTTGAAAACAAGTTTTAGACCACGTGTTGATATAAATTACATGATCCCAAAGTAATTAATATCCGACCGTTGTTGCTACCTTGACGTGGTGGTCGGGCTTGCCTATCGTGATGAAGCAACTGAGCTATACTGGCTGGAACAACCGTTCCTCAGGGTCCTACCATGCCAGACAGGTCGGTTGAAGAGCGGTAAGACTAAAAGCAACAAATCCAAGGTCTGAAGACGAAGTCGTACTGCTGACTGTACAGAAGTGTGACAGCAGTAAGCTGTTTCCTTCAGACAACCAGCATAACAGCGATGCTGCCTTCCACAAGGAGGGGTGAGAATAGAAAAGGTCGGCCCTAAAAATGCACACCGCCTTATCCCACGGATATCCGTCTCCGGCGGTAAGGTCTCAACAAGTACGGAGCTAACACAAAAGCTACTCACAAAAAGGTCGTGTGTGACCGACCTCAAGCAGCTGTCCCTTGGGCACTGCGGTCACGCTCTCAGGTCACTATGGCCACCTTTAACCCAATTTTCTTTTCAGGTACCTCCAGCAGAACCCTTCCACGGTGTGGGCAACCGGGAAGTGATAACCGCCCTCATACCTCTAACAGCACTCAAGACCACTGTATTCATAGTCAACCTCCCTCTTCAATTCCTATTATTCCTCCTACATCTACTTTCAAATCTAAACATCCTCTTTTGGTTTCCTCCTCAAGTGTTACCATAGCCAACGATTCTAGTGCTCAAAACACTGTCCCAGGTCTACTGAAACCCCGCTGCAAACTACACATTGGAGCCTTCAACGTACGCACACTATGTCAAATCGGTCAGCAGGCTTCCTTGGCTAAAACCCTAGAATCTCGTACGATTGATGTATGCTGTGTCTTCGAAACACACACAGGATCCTAGTGTGGTCACTCACGTGACCTCACCTCGGCAAAACGGAGAGCCGACGATATACACCCTCCGTGTATCTGGCGACCCGATGGCTAGTTCTCGTGGACTGGCAGGTGTAGGCATAGCACTAAGTATGAGGGCGGAACAAGCGCTATTAGAGTGGATCCCCGCAAACAGTCATCTATGCACTGCTCGGCTAAACGGCTCCGTAAGATCTCGGAAGGATAGGGACACACGTCGTTGCCTTTTCGTCGTTTCTGCCTACGCTCCCACTGACTGCAGCTCGGATGAAGTGAAAGATGAATCTTACAGAAAACTCTCTGAACTTCTTCAGAAAGCTAAACGTTCAGACATAGTACTCGTAGGAGGCGACTTTAATGCCCAGGTAGGTAGCTTAAACGAAACAGAAAGACATTTAGGTGGGTATTTTAGTATTCGGGCAAAGCGAACAGATAATGGTGATCGTCTGCTGCAACTTTGCTCAGACAATTGTTTACTTTTAGCAAACACAAATTTTAAGCATAAGGACAGATACCGTCTGACATGGCGACCCCCTGCACCAAATCAACGATGGACTCAAATAGACCATATTGCCATCAGTCATCGTTGGAGAGGGTCAATAGAAGATTGTCGCTCATTCTGGAATACCTGTTTGGACTCCGACCACGCATCCGCTTGCACCTCACTGGACGCAAAAAAGCCACATTAAAAAGACCCATTGGAACTGAACTGAGTAACGAGAAAACCAAACGTAGGTTCCAAGAACAACTGAGGTCACACTTAGGTAGTTCTGAAAACGAGGCTGACCCAGATGTTGCTTGGAAAGATATACAATCAGCTGTGGAAACAGTAGTGATACTTACTAGTGATATAAACCAAAGGGTTACAAAGAATCAATGTATTTCTTCAAGGTCTATTGCACTGATGGATTCTCGTAAACTCATCCCATCAGGCTCTGAACATGATGATGAGCGAAAGTAAATCAGATCTAGGTTAACCAAAAGTCTAAGGAATGATCGTGAGGAGTGGTGGGCAACGAAAGCAAAAGAGATGGAAAAGGCGGCGGCTATAGGGAAGACAAGACAACTCTACAGACTAATAAAACAAACTGGAACTAATAAGTCAAGTGTAAGTCAGACTATTTCGGAAAAAGACGACACTCATCTGCTACCAGTCCAGACGTTTAGAACGATGGGCGGAACATTTTAGGGAGCAGTTCAGTTGGCCTTCAGCTACTCTACAACTACCCTCCATTCCCAGACAGTGTGAATGGAACATTGAAGTAGGTCCCCCAACTCTAGCTGAAGTTCAAAAGTCTATAGCTAATCTGAAACGAGGAAGGGCAGCTGGTCCAGATGGGTTGGCTCCAGAGGTCTTTAAGGATGGTGGTCCAATTTTAGCGACTAGGTTGACTAATATTTTAGCTAAAATCTGGGAGTTAGACGTTGTCCCATCTAACTGATCACAATCACTTATCGTCCAAATATTTAAGAAAGAGTCAAAATCATCCTGTGATAACCATAGAGGGGTTAGTTTGACTAATATAATATCTAAAATACTAACCTCGATAATTATCGGACGCCTAACTAAGACTCGTGAACTACAAACACGAGAGAATCAAGCTGGCTTCAGACCTGGTCGTGGATGCATAGACCACATATTCACCATTCGTCAGGTTCTAGAATACAGGCATACTTATCGGCGTCCGACAATCGTGGTCTTCCTTGACTTAAAGGCAGCATTTGACTCTGTAGACCAAGAGGTTCTGTGGCAGTGTCTGTCATTGAAAGGCGTACCTCAGAAATACATAAACCTTGTGAAGGCTCTTTACTCGAACACTACTAGTCGAGTCAGAGCTTATGGCGAACTGTCATCTGCTTTTGCAACCTCAAGTGGCGTCCGCCAATGCTGTCCACTTTCTCCATTTTTGTTTAACTTCATCATGGATCTACTGATGGAAATAACGCTCTCATCGACTGAATTCTCGGGTATTGATCTCCTACCAGGAGGTCCACTCATCGACTTAGAATACGCAGATGAAGAAGCTGATAAAATACAGAGTCTTTTGATAGCACTGAGCAACAATGCGAGACTGTTTGGGATGCGCTTCTCTCCCTCTAAATGCAAGTTGTTGCTTCAGGACTGGACTGCGTCAACGCCTGAACTAAGGATAGGGAGTGAAGTAGTCGAACGCGTTGACAACTTCACTTATCTTGGAAGTCTGATCAGCCCTAATGGGTTGGTGTCTGACGAAATCTCAGCACGGATTCGAAAAGCTCGTTAGGATGAATTAGTTTGTCTGCTAATGATTGGTCATATTCTGTGGTTACATCATATTGAGATCAGACAACATATTTAAACACAATAAAGACTCATTTGTTATCGTGAAATCTTGATTTCATTTGAGTGAATATATATAACGCTCAAGTTCTTCACATCCTGCTGTGTATAGATTAGCATATATAAGCGGTTAAAACGGTGGTTTAGTGGTTGAAGTACTCATCTTTCAAACGATAAGTTATAGGTTTGAATACTGCTTTCAGCTACTTTGAGTGGAGTTCCCGCGTAGAATCATCAGACTTTACATAATAAACATTTGACTCAAAATTGAATGTATAAACTTTTAGTTAGTAAATGAGTTACCCTGGTTGTTGAGTAATAGGGAATACTAATGCTTCCAAAGTACTTGGCTATTTTTGCTGGCATTTTAATAATTGTCTCGTGGTATTGTAAGGGATTTTCATAGAGTTCTAATGATTTTACGTATTTATGCTAAAATATCCTAACGATAGTGTAAATTTTCACTAAACATAAAGCTAATTTTTTCACAAGTAAGCTTTGGATTTACGGTTACTTAGGTGAACTGAATAGATATTTCGTTGGCAAAAGGAAGGTATTTATGATTATTATTTCAACACAAGTTTAGAACTCAGTCACTTACGTTTGTCGGTCATACTAACTCAGACAAAAAATAATAGTACACGGCTCTTGATTTCCAAATTATCTAGTTAGTAAGTTGTCAGATCGAAGTTCACTTTATACATAAAGATAATAAATTGAGTCTCCCACTGTCTAAAATAAGGTTTGATCCCGCACAACTTCACACATTCGATCGATTGAATTCTTTGAAATAGAACATATTAACTTGTTTTCCATGTGCAAAAAACAGAGAACTAAAGTTAATTATGGTATTGTATTAGAAATCTTTTTATTTAATGCGTTACGTTTAACCTATTTCCTTAATTGGTCATGTTTATTAATTTGTATTGATGGCTAGAATTTTTACATTGTGTGTTTTCATATAGTTTCTTTTAGGAAATTTTCATGGTTTTGATAATAATGTTTCTTGTTCTAGTTAGCAACAAGTTGTACATCTTGTTTAGATTCTCAATCAATTGGGAATCGTAAACTTTGTTCCGGATTATTCAATACATATACTTCCAACGTGATTAGGGATTCGTAATTTTGTTTGAACTTTGGACTAATGATATTTTTGGCTTACACCAAATTCTTATTGTTTCCTAGGTATATATTTTATTAGTGAGGGAAGTAAGTTGTATATGGCTGATCAAAATATGCCTTCATGTTTTTATTGTTACGTATGTGTCATATGATCTTAAAAGCAAGAGCTTACCAATACTATTTATGTTGATCCAGTTAATAATAACTAAACTTACCTTTAGACACCTACGCGTAACTTGATATTTTTTTAAAATTCGTTTTTGTGGTTTGTTGTTCAGTTTTTTGGATTGTAAGTCTACTATTTTTAGCCTGATTACCGTGTTAAACATTGGTACTTGCCATTCAAGACTAACAGGAAATAGTTATAAATGGGATTGTGAAATATCATTGTGTGAAGTATTATTAGATAACTAAACATTGTTTAGTGGAATTGGGATTAAACCAGTGTTTCAGTCACTAAACTGTGTATCTCTTATTCACAATTTCGTAGGTGATAAAAATGATGCATTAAAAATGTATTGTTTATGGGTTTTTGATACAATCACCTTTTCAAGTTATAGGTAAAATTAATGTGGTTTCAAATCTCAATTATTTTCTTCTAGTCTAGTTATTAGCTTATAATTGCTACGTAGAAACACTCATATAACGGTTTTTTCGTTTAAGCTTTTGTGTGAAGTGCTACTCTGATTCTTCGTTTACTAGCCCATAAATTTGTTGAATGTATTAATATTTTCGAGTTGCCATATATTTCCAGTTTTTATACAAAGGTTTCAATGTCACGCAGCTGTATATACCACCTCCATTCTTCACTGCTTTCTAAACGTATTAATCCTGAGGATGTTTGGCGCGTATTTATTAATCGTATCCAAGCCGATATACAGGGTGTTAAAGATGGTTTATCTGTGTCCAAACTTGGTCTTCCTCCTACCAATTCAATACTGAGTAGCTTATCTGAGATTATGCCAAAGAGTTCATTTACAAATCCAGATACTCCCAATTTGATGACTTCAATACCAGTGGTTGTTAAAGATAATTTATGTGTCAATTATCGTAGATTACCTCTAAAAACAACATGTGCTTCTAAATCACTGGAAAACTTTTGTTCACCATATGATGCTGCTGTAAGTTAAAAATCCTTCAAGTTGAAAATCATGAGTTCAATCTTGTATTTGTTTACAAGTTAGACAGACTAAATTCAGTATTTTCCTATATTTTTGAAATTAATGTGTTCATTTGTAGGTTAAAATTTTTTCAACTACACTCACCAGTTTTTAGATTGACATCTGTTGTTGGATGTTGGGTTCAAATAAAATAATAAATCCTGAACAGATAACGAAAACAATATTGCTGGTCATTTATTAATGAACTAGACGTTTCTGTCAAACCAATCTTATCGAAATATTTACTCACCCTTTCTTATTCCATTAAGGTATCAATATGTAGGATAAAGGGTGTTCAGAAAGTTGAAGTATATATGCTTTTACAATTCTTCTAATAAAATTAAACAGTCTATGTTCAAGTACTATAATATCCCTCCACTAAACGTTCAAGTTTTTTCCACAGAAATGGTATACATTACTGTAGTATTCAAACCCAAATTATAAAAGCATAATTTTTCAACTGTAGGTCGCTTAAAAACGCATACATTTTATCACCACAGGCATTTCTCAGCTATGTAAGTTGTATCCACAAGTGATACAGAATCTCTCAAACCTCATAGTTGAGATAAAATGTTATACCATTGCTTAGAAACTTCGTGATATTTTTATGATTTCAAAGTTTTCAATCGTTTGAATTTAACATATATCAAAAGTTAAATAAAATTATTCAGGGAATAAGGTTACATGATATGTTAATTTAGTTTTATTATAGCAAATTACTTTTATGATGTATCTGCAATTGTTCAAAACTTCAAGATGAAATGATTCATGAACTTTTGTGTGAATAAAAGCACGTGCATTTCATATGTAACTAACTTGTTCTTTACATACAGTTCTCCTTTTTGAAAACTGTAATTAATATTATTTCGAATCCCACTAAATGTAAGGATGTAAATAGTTATACACTACTTACGCTGATCTTTAGTCTTCATCAAACTGTTCAGTACAACAAATTCAGTACCGAAATCACTGATAGTGTGTTTTGTATCTTTCGGCAAAGTGATTAGTGTTTATGGTAATTAAGTGGTTACTTTTCGAGTTCTCTGCTTTTTTTGGGATAGTTTTGGATACGTTACTTGTAAGTAACAACAACCTATTCGTACTAGTAATTATTAATATCTAAGTGGTATTGTCGTCCTATATAGTATGCATATTGTTGACTTTTCCCGGTTGGTTTGTACTGAATTTACGAATTTAAAGTTAATAACCAGGGGCATCAAAATGTTAATCTATACATACGAATCAATATAGAGCTTAGATGTTATTCAGTCACCACACTCAAATGTCATTTTGTATTTCAAATTGTAGTTCTGCTCATTTAAACATTTTAAACAGCTATTTGCTGGAATATTTTTGTTAGTTTCCTTATCTCTTTCAAACAACTCCTCCAGGTTGTGTCATCTCTTCTTCATTCAGGAGCTTTTATCATCGGGAAGTCGAATATGGATGAGTTCGCAATGGGTTGTGGATCTACAGATAGTGCAGTTGCTGGCCCTGTTGTTAATCCATGGTCTGAAAAAGCAGCTGGCAAAATTCGTCTTATCTCGGGAGGTAGTTCTGGAGGTAGTGCTGCTGCAGTTGCTGCTGGTCTTTGCTTGGCTAGCATTGCTTCGGATACTGGTGGTTCAGCACGATTACCTGCTGCTTATTGTGGAGTTGTTGGTTTAAAGCCAACATATACATTACTCTCTCGTCATGGTCTTATCCCATTAGTAAACACTTTAGACGTGCCTGCCATCATTGCACCATCTGTCAGCGATGTGGCTTGTGTTTTAACAAGTTGGTTATCCCCCATAAATAACTTTGCACGAACAGGTGATGCCACATGTTCTCAACTTCCACACTCTTCTCTGACTCGTATGTACAATGAATTGCAAGCTCTTGCCAAAGGTGATTTAGATTCTGCTTCCAAGGACGCTCCGCTACGCATAGGTATCCCGTTAGAGTATCATGTTCCTGGTCTTCAAGAAGAGATATGTTCCATGTGGGACACTGTTGCCAGTTGGTTAGCTGATCATTTATCCTGTTCTGTACAGTTAGTCAGATTACCTCATACACCTATGGCCACAACTGTGTATTCAGTTTTGTGTGCAACAGAAGTAGCATCAAACATGGCCAGGTAATTTCAAATTACACTTAATTCCGAAAATATTCTTTTTTATGGGTTATCGATTTCTTACCGTTATAGATTATTAATATTGTGGACTGTAAATGTTCATAGCTGGGTGCTGCTAAGAATTCCCAGAACAAATTAGGATAGATATTCAACACGATCTTGCTTTCATGATTGAGTACCAACGTTTAGTAAAAAACCATTTTCAATTAATAATTAAAACGTATCACATGTACTTTTCAATAATGTAAGGGTCTTGGATTTATGAATGTTATCTGTAATTAGGCATACGAATCTGGTCGAACTGTATAATTGTTTTATTGCTTTATATGCAAATGAAATGCTCGGTTGATAATTAGTTTCACTGCTATAAGTAATCTTTTTTTATCCGTCAGGGTTGAGAGTATTAGATTTTCTCTTCATAAATATGCAAATATCGACTTACTACGAATCTGTTCTGTTTTTCAATGATCTAATTAATTTCTATTCAGATACGATGGGTTAAAGTATGGATTTTCCACAACGAAGTTATCCAACTATCATGAAGATTCACTACTGAAAAATACGGTGACACGATACTCTGCTACTCGTTCATTAGGTTTCGGTGATGTTGTTCAAGGGAGAATTTTCGCTGGTAATTTCTTTCTTCTTCGAGATCAACAGTGTCGACATTTAGCTGCTGCACGACGTGTATGGCGTTTGATCAAGGAAGATTTCACGAAGGTAATGTCTAGATTTTTGTGCTGACAATTGTACTACATCAATATAAGAAAACCAGAAATTCTATATAAGACCGTATGAGTTTTAGCCCATAGTGTCACACTAATTATATATTTAGCGTGTTATCATAAACATTATTTAATTATTATTAATGGCTTTATTCAATATTATATTTTTGGTACAATATATAACTCTCAGCACAAAGTATTTCAACAAGTTTCCTTTCCTTATTTCTTGATCGGTCCTGGCGGTAAATATTAAGTGATCTCCAGTTCAGGAATTGACATCTGAATAATATTCATTCTTTTCAATGAATATTATCAGCCACCATGATGTCGCTGATTATACGTTTTTGTAATCTGTACAGCGAAAAGTCGTAAACTTTTCACAGACGCGCTTGAATAGGTTATGTGGTTAATAGACATGATGTACTAAAACAAATAAAAACAGATAACGTTGAAATATTTAGATGACAGAAACAGTTGGCTCAAATTGTTGACTTTTGATGTAGAATATCATTTTTACTATTATTAGACTTTACATATAATTAAACTTTTTATCTATGTTGCTATTTTCAGGTTTTTGAATCAGTTGACTTTATATTAACGCCAGTATCACCTAGTTTACCTATCAGTATAGATGACTTTTCCAGATTCGACAATCGAACACGTACTACACTTGATGATGTATGTACAGTAGCTGTAAATTTGTCCGGATTACCTGCTATTTCATTTCCTGTCGGTTTATCACCTACACGTGGATTACCGATTAGTTTACAATTAATTGGACCATACTTTTCAGAGTGTCAACTATTATCACTTGCTGCTAAATTAGAACGTCAGGCATGTTTTCAACCTTTAGTTAATCATAAATCCATTATTGATTCTATTTAAGAGTGCTTGATTTTTAAAATTTTTCTTAGTCTTTTTTCCTTCCTTTCTTTCGGTAAATCATTTGAAATTGAATTATCGAGTGAACTTTTATATCTCCTTCTTTTGTTTTTATTGGTTTCTTATGAAAAAGAAATTAATTGTACAAATTTGACATATTCTAGTTCTAATTTTATAGTGATATTACGATGACAATATGCTGAATTGTTCTATAGTTTAATACTGTTTTTTTCTTAATCTATTAATCATTCGAAGAAAACTAAATAAATTAAGTTTTTCTTGTTTATTGCATTTCTTTTTGCCGGGAAAAGGTATATATATATATATATATATATATATATATATATATATATATATATAGTCGTCAATATTTTTAATTTATATTAAAATAGTTACTACTTTTATTCATTTGCAAATGTTTCGTTTGTTTCTGAATTTCCTGTCATATTGAAATCAATTAATCTGTTTAACTGATGAACGCAAGTGTTAGGTTATTGATCAGTGTCATTTATTAGTTAATAAAACAATCGGCTTTTAATCACTATGTTGTAAGTTCGAACCTTTCTGCGTCCGTATGAGTTTTATAAGCCGGTACTTGATTACTGAACTGTGTGTATATTCATTCATAATTTGTATTGTTCCGTATATTTAGTAATTTAAGTAATTTTGTATCAAAATTATCAATTATGTGGGATGTATTTTCACCGAAGTTTTATCAGAATATTATTAAAAATAAATTAGCATAAATTGTATATCTTTCAATGGTTGAGATCGTGAGCCAGTTGAAGCTAGACCACCATGGAAAACCTGGAGGCACTGAACGACCGTTTCGTCCTATTGTGGGACTGTTCGGCGGTGTACACCCACGATCCCGCCCCCCGCGAGATTGGAACCCAGGACTTATCAGTCTCGCGAGCGAGCGCCTAACCACTAGACCACAGCTGGCATCCATGGTAGTCTAGCTTCAACTGACTCAACCATTGAAATTACTATAATATCCACAAAACCCCTTCTGATTAATTGTATGTCTCAAACTGTTTATCTTTATTAACTTTTTATTCTATCATAAATCGAAATCATGCATTCATAATGGTTGTATAACCGTTTGCTGAAAATGTTGAATGAATAAAGATGGGATTAGTTATATGTATGTTTTTCTATTGGTATGTTCATAAACAGTTCGACAATTATTTCCAAAAAGAGAAAAAGTTAATATTTCAGTGAAAAATAAATTTATTCGAAAAAGAGTACTAAAAGAGCATAACAGTTAAAGTGATGAAAAAGAGGATTCATGTTCAGTATCCGCGATGCCTTAAGATGGTTTCGGAATCTGACACATAGGATTTATGATATTTTTAGATAAATCTAAAATACTTTCTTGATTTATTGAACTAAGTTATAAATTATACAATAAACAAAGTATCATCAACTGTCACATAGTTTATTAATGAAGACATTTTATGTTAATGAAAACCATCCTTTAATTGTTAAGACTTATTGATGTTGAGTTTAGATAATTTTGTGAAATAGAATGATCAATTTACCTATTAGAACATTATAGAATAGAGTCGGAAATAAACAAGCAACAAAATAATATTGCACTGTTATAGTTTGAAGATGATCGTATACTTCAAGAAATATGAAGCACAAGTTAGGTATGTAGAACGAATACTTTACAGGATTATATAAATACCTTAGGGAATATGAAGCTGACTACCACAAATAATAGTGGTCTTAAATGTATTTTTCATGATAGACAATCGTGACCTTTTGTTGTTTTTTCTTCGCCACTGTGATATTTTATGTAATTCTATATGGTATTGATGATATCCTTTTACATATACCTACATTAATAATAAAATATGTAGATCAATTTATATCTTTTATGAAAAGTTTGGAATAACCTACATTCTCTTACAATACTAAAAGTAACAATTATTGCAAGTTATATTACATTAAAATGGCCATTCATTTGCGTTAAATAAGGTTAATATTTTGTGGTCAAGAGTGATTTACTGATTTTTACTATCCTGGTTTCAGTCAAAGTCGATTACTCCACGAGTGAAATATGATTCTCTTGTGTGAATCGGCTAATATATATGCATATCAATCTGATGAGGCTGAGGGTTTAATTAAACTGGTCACAAGTATTCGACACTAAATGGTTCTAACCTATTAAAAATAGGGAAATCTCCGAACACATTCAATTTAAAGATAACAATCTAGTGGCTTTTGATGATATATTTTGAGCTGTATGTCTTGCGATCCTAGTGAAAATAGGTGACCTGTTGGGAGGTAAACGAATGCGTGCCGATAATATAAGATGGAAGAAGTATTGTATAAAGTTGATTGAAGTAAAAATATGTCAACCATTGGATTTCGACTTAGGAACTGGATGATATCTTAGTAACTGTAAGACTTGTATTATTTATTTAAATGTTCTATTGTTTTTCACTATTGAAATCACGAGTCGATCTAAGCTAAACCATCATTGAAAACCTGGAAGTACTGAACGGCCGCTTCGTCTTGGTGTAAGACTTCTTAGTAGTGCGCATCCACGATTCCGCATGCCGAACTGAATCAGTCCTGAGTTATTTTTTCACCTAATGTTTTTTTTAATTTTCACCACACATTCATATCAGTCTCATAATCATCATGCAAATTTATATTAATTTAGGAACTTTCATTTATCTTCACCATTATTGTAAAGATTAATCGAAAAATGTATAAATATTACTAATTGTTATTGACCCGGTTGACGATTTCCACTAGTTATCCATCTAGATTCTGGAAAGCTTCTAATTCTCATGTAGTGAGCATTTCTATCACTATTGTGACTTCTGCATCCATTGTGTAAAGGAAAAAAAGAAATACACATACAAAGTTTTTAAGTATTATCGAATATTTAGTATTTATAGGGTAAGTTAGGGATTGTGAGAATGTTAGTATTTACCAACTAAGACAGATCGATCATGATAACTGTACAACTTGATACATATATGTATCATTTTGTGCTGGTAAACGGACAATAACTGGGCAACAGAAAACCAGAGAGTTGAAAAACAGTCCAAAAAATTAAAGCGTAATGTAAACGGATGATAAGTATTACAGGCATGGCTATATTGTTGCAGAAAAGAATGTATTAGGGTATAACTTGATGAAACGATAAGTCTACTTGATTTGACAGAGAACAGCATTTTTGGAACTAATTTATGTGTTAGCTACCGTTACATATTAATGCAGCTGGTGAGTATGGTTGTATAAGTCAATCATCTTATTAGATGGTCAGGGACTAGGCCTAGCCTTTTAAGTTTAACTTCAACATTATGACTTCTCCCTATTCAATTATCACTTCAGTAGTGTCTACAATCAAATATTAGGAACCGATAACTGTCTTCTACTCTTATAAGACGTGTTACATATATGTAGGATAGTACTGAGCAATCTGATGTGAATATACTCGTCAAAACTTGGAACCATTGAAATGACACCGTATGAAGTATACTACCATAAACTTACTTGAAAATATAATAACGTGGTAATCTTTGTTTCAAGAAGCTCGAATCAGAATGTTGAGCAAACTTTATGAAATTATTTTAGCCCCTGATATATTTTAAAATATATAAGTCTTTACATCTTTATGATAAGTTTATTCCTATTTCTCAAATATATTATGTTGCTTAACATTTATTCTTACTGTCTGATTTATAAGGTTTATTTAATTTCTTGTAGAATCAACTGTCCGACAAAAATACTAAGTTATGTAGGGACATAAACCTGAATTATAAGGATGGGCTGAAGTTAAAAACGAATAATAACTTCATTGAATTTAAGGTTGTTCGATAAAACATGACTTTCCTATCGAATCTCAATAACAATATCATAAAATTATGCTATCCAGTTGATTCCCCATAAAATAGAATACGAACAATTACAATGTTCATTAGTACAGGAAGGGGTTTTGTGGATATTATAGTAATTTTAATGGTTGAGATCATGAGTGAATAGAAGCATGACCACCATTGAGACCCTGGTAGCATAGGACGGCCATTTCGTCCTATTGTTGGACTCCTCAGCATTGCTCATTCAGGGCTTGCAGCTTAGCACGCGAACGCTTAACCTCTAAACCACTGAGCCGGTATCCAACAGTGTTAATGTTTAACTTCAACTTATCCACTAAATTGAGCGACATACAGTGTTATTTGTTCCAGTTTAATATTATAATTATTTAACAAAAATCAATTGGAGCTTAGGGAACCTTGCTTCGGTATGAGAAGTCACCAATGATCAATTAAAATCATTGTGAAAATATGAACATTGAATAACATACTAGTATACACAATTGATTAAGCAAAGTTCATTCACAACTAGCTGTTTGAATTTTACTTGTATTGATCACTATACAATTTTAATGAGTAATATTTAATAATATTATGGCATTTGTGCGAAAGATCTGCAAGAGAATAGATGTAATCTTGTCCATTAAAAGAAATAAACATGAGAATAAGAGTTACAATAATATTTTGAATGTTTTATAAAACAAATAATTTTTCTAATCTAATTATTTGTCTTATGGTGTATGCTGGACGGCCACTTCGTCCTAGTATTGAACTCCTCATCAGTGCACATCCACGATCCCACACACGGAACTCGAACCCAGGACTTTCACTCTCACGCGTGAACACCTAACCTTTAAAGCACTGAGCCAGCATCTAACGGTGTTAATGTCTAGCTTTATCCATCCACGATATTGTGTGACTGTCCATCATTGTTTTCAGTAAGTAACTCACAACAGACAATATTGAACTCCACTGCTCACGGCTTCTCACTAGAACTCCAGGAAATCCATCTTCAAGCTAATCACTAGTGAGCACATGATTGCCAAGTTTAAATGGATATCATAGATGGATCAATGTCAGACCACCACTGAAAACCTGGAAGCACTAAACTGAAGGTCCTGGGTTCAAGTTCCACGTGCGGATCGTGTATTTTCATTGCTGCGGAGTCCCATACTAAGACGTACTAGGTTTTCACTATTGATCTAACATTGATCCATTCATGATATCAACAATCTCCACAACCCTATAGTGATAATTTCGAACAAATTAAACATCAGATAGATTATTATTAATAAATAACAAATTTGATCACACCATTTTGTAATATGTTTCTGTTGAGTTGACTTCCGAGAACTACAATGGAGCCTCCAGTGGCCCTATAGAAGCCGAAGAGTTCCAGCCAATCAGAGCGTGAGGGAGCTTTCTAGAATATTAACGTGGTATACTACTATTGGTCAGTAGCATAAT